CGGGCTCGGCGGCTGCGAGTGACGCAGAGTTTCCTGCGGCCCTGCCCTCGGCCCACGGCGCGGAGGCGAAGCCCGTCCAGCTGCAGGGCCCGAAGGTGAACGTGAAGCATGCAGCTTGTTGGGTGGAGCTCTGGGGGCGGCTGGGCGACCTCGGCGATCGCGCTGGGGTCTCGCCGCGCGACGACGTCCAGGCGTTCCTCGAGGCGGCCCTGCTGGCGCCGCTGTCCGCGAGCGAGCGCGAGGTGGCGAAGGCCGACCTGGCGGTGCTCAGGACCTTCGACCGCGTCCGCCGCTCCGCGACGTCTGGCTCGTCATCCTAGCCCGCGCCGTGGCGCTGCTGCCCGTGGTGCTGACGTGCCTGGGCGGCTGGCGCCGTTGTGGCAGGCGGGGTGCTGCTGGCCGCGGCGCGGGGCGGGCCCCGCCCTGGGCCTGGCGCGGGGCGCTGGGCCCTCGCGCCCTCTCCTGGGACCTCTGTGGCGCCCCCCTGCCGCGGAGGCGAGGATTGAGGGCGGCGCGGCTCAGCTTGCGAGCTGGCCGTGCCGCGCGGCGGGCTCGGTCTCGCCGCGGTGCTCGGGCGCGGCGCGTGAGGCGCCCCGCCCCTGCCTGATCGGGCTGCGCGCGCCCGCGGCGCCAGACGCTGTGTGCTCGCGTCGGTGGCGTGCGTGCGAGAGAGAGAGAGAGAGAGAGAGAGAGAGAGAGAGAGAGAGAGAGAGAGAGAGAGAGAGAGAGAGAGAGAGAGATAGCGATATATATATATAGATAGAGAGAGAGAGAGAGAGAGAGAGAGAAGAGGAGAGAAGAGAGAGAGAGGAGAGAGAGAGAGAGAGAGAGAGAGAGAGAGAGAAGAGAGAGAGAGAGAGAGAGAGAGAGAGAGAGAGAGAGGAGAGAGAGAGAGAGAGAGAGAGAGAGAGAGCGAGAGAGAGAGAGAGAGAGAGAGAGAGAGAGAGAAAATAGAGAGAGAGAGAGAGAGAGAGACCAAGAAGAGAGAGTGGGAGAGATCGAGAGAGAGAGAGAGAGAGAGAGATAGAGACAGAGAGAGAGAGGGATATTTCCCCAAAAAGTGAACAACAAACAAATCGGGTGCTCGATTTTGGGCGCTCGATTTCGACATCCTTGCGGGACCTGCGGTTTCTAAAGGATGTCGGCGTGCGCGCGTGACGGCGCGAGCGCGCCTGTATTTCGTCCTTATTTTGGTGGCGGATTTTTGAAATTGATGATTTTTCGTAAACGAGTGTGCGCGCCTCGTGTGCGGAGGATGGCGGGGGTGGAGTTTCGATGTCGGCCTAGTTGCGGATGGGCGATGGGGCAGAATCATATGTAAAGTGCAATAGTACAACAGGGTGGATCGATAATTTCGGGGTTGCGTGGGGCGATGTGTGTGTATATATTAGAAAAATGATCTACCTGGCGCAATTGATTCTTGCAAGCGAGTTGACGCATCCCATGTTCTTGCAACGCCCACCCCGCTTGCCCGCAACGTGGTTTGCAAAGCGAATGCGATGGCGATTGCGATTGGTGCTTGGCGTTGGCTGGTCCATCTCTGCGGCCGCGCCAGCCGAAACGCGCTCGCGCTGCGGCCAGTTAGTGTGGCGCGACCGACGCGGCCGCGGTGGCGCTGACCGCTGGGCACTTCCGGGCGGGCACTTCAGTGCGAGTCGGTGACTTGGGCGGGCGCGGCATCGTGACAACGTCGACAACGGCAGACACGATGTTGATCGTAGCGGCGCTGGTGGCGATGTTGGCAGCGGCGACGGCGCGGCCAACGCGGGCGCCGATGCTGATCACGCCGACGACGATGACGGCGTCCTCTTGTCGGTGACGAAGGTTTTGGAAAGAGTTCGACATGCGCGCGCGGCCGACGTTCGAGCGTGGCCCGCATGGCTATATTTGACACGGATCGGATCGTGCCCCTTGCCCAGCACGCGCGCAAGGGCGTGCGAATGATTTTTGCATGCGGCGCCAGAGGCCCGGTGGGCAGAAGTCCATGGACATGTTGAAAATCTCTTGCGTTTCCCAAGAAATGGCAAAATCGTGAGCGCACGTTTTTTGTCTACCGTTGAAACGGATGTTGCGAAAACCATGTTTTTTTGGAACGGTCGGTTTGACATCGCTACGAAGCCGAAGGTTTTTGACATATTTCGGCATGCGCGCGCTCCGACGCGCGCGTGCGCACTTCGTTTCATTTTTGGCCAAAAGATTCTCGCGACGGCACGCGCGCAATGGCTTTCGAACAGTTTCGACATGCGCGCGCGCGGAGCCCGTTTGGCAGCATTTTCTGAAACTTGTGAGAAACCTATGCTTGTGTAAAGAATTCGCAAAAGCGCGCAAGTTTGTTTTGAATATCAATGCTGCGAATGCTTTCTATATGTTTTTGGGACCTTCGATTTTGATTTGAAAGGTTTCGGCATGCGCGCGCGACAACGCGCGCGTGCGCACTCCGCCCCTTCGTTTCCAAGGGATTTTTGAAAACATGATGATTTTGACAAGCGTGTTCGCGCGCATTGTGTCGTTTGCAGAGGAGGGGGGGGGCGGATACCGGCTCGGCTGGGATGGTGCGAGTCCAGATCCGGGATGGACGATCGGGCAAAATCGTACGTACATTGAAGTACGAAAAGGGGAGCGGAATCAATTTCGGGGGGGTGAGTTTATTCATTCTCTTGCAAGAACCGAGAATCTACGTGGTGTAACGTATTTGGGGTCCACGTTGGCTGCGAGGCCGCAGAGTGTCAACCAGGCCCAGACGACGGGCGGTGACCGTGCGGCGACGAGGCGGCGGCGGGTTTGCGACCGCGACCACGGAGCCGCCAGGCCGCCACGCAAACCCAAACGACGGACGGCGACGAGGCGGCGACGGGGCGGCGACGGCGACCACAAAACTTCCAAACCGCCAAGCAGGCCCAGTTTAGTATAACACAAACAAGATCCTAAAAATGCAAACGCTTTTTGAGGAATCTATGTACGATGCTTATTTCATGTATCAGAACCAGTCAGTGTGATGCCAGTCTGCTGTCAACTCGCTTCCACGGTATGCCCCTCGCGCAAGAGAGTGCGACTTACGATAACGGGATATTATTTGACATTTGGATCTGTACCTGAAGGAGGGGGATCGGTAGTGCTTTTGGTGAGCGCTTGTGGCCGCCCTTGTGGCCGCGCCGTGTTGGCTCCTGCCACGGCTCCATAGGGCCCCTCTTGAACACAAAACGGCTGTTGATCGAATGCGACCCTGTGAAGCACGCTGTATGCTGCACAACGGGACTCGGAATGGGAAGCGCATACCTCTTTTTGTTCCCGATTGGGAGGGGCCGAGGTGGTACAACATGCCCCTTGGCGTTCCGAAGGTTGCGTACCGTATACCTGGGGCGCCCAACGCCGAATGGGTCGACATCTACAACAGGCCGCCTTGCAATTCCAGCCATTTGGTCTTCGCGTTTGCTGTTCATGCCTGAGGCTCGCTGAAGGAGGTTTGCCGAAGAGTTCTTGGCTGACTCACGTTGTGCAGTAGGGCTCAGTTGTATAACTGATGCCCAGATGAGTTCACTGGGGAGCTTCCCCTGGCCCCTTGAGGAGTTTTGCTATTTGGATTGATATAGATGCTGGCGTCTTCTCGCCAGTGGTTCGACATAATACTCGCGTTCGTCTTGCGATTTGCTTGCTGCATGCTTGCTGGGATATGTAAATTTTCTCGTTACGGGCTGTCTTTCTCACCTGCGGGTAAAACATGAGCGTGGCGACGAAAACAACATGCACGTCGCATGTTCCATGTGTGTGTATGTTTGTGTGTGTGCCCGCTACTCCCCGCACATATTTGTTCCGCGAGGATGTACCGCGAGAGGATCATCTTCCTTGGCAAGGAGATCGACGACAAGCTCGCGAATGAGATCATCGGCGTGCTGCTCTATCTAGTGGCTTTCGGCCCATCCCGCCACGGTGCTTGGGTTGTTGGAGTTCTCAGGTATGTTTCTTCTGGGCGCTCTCGGGGGGCTCTTGGGAGCAGTTGGATGCCTCTTGGGAGTCTCTTGGGAGCCTCTTGGGAGCCTCTTGGGGCCTCTTGGGGGCCTCTTGGGGCCTGTTGGGGGCCTGTTGGGGGCCTCTTGGGGCCTCCTGGGGGGCCCTCGGGGCCAAGGGCTCGAAATGTTCGTCTGGGTTCCCCATCTGGGCCCTCTCTTGGAGCCGTCTTTTGGGCCCTCTTGGGCCTTCGGGCGCCTGTTGTGGCCGTCTTGTGGCCCTCTTGGGAGCCTCTGGGGCCGTCTTCGGACGATCTTGGGGGCCTCGTGGGCTGTCTTGGAGCGTCGGAGAGCCGAAGGGCGAGAAGGCCCCAAACCGTCAGAAACCTACGGCAAATCATTGTTTTTTGTTTTTTGGGGCCCTCTTTGGACGCCTCTTGGAACACTCTTGGGATGTCTTCGGGGCCTCATGCGCCGTGTTGAGGACATCTTGGGCGTATTGGGATACTCTTGGGCCTTCTCGGAGGCATCTTCGGCCCTCTTGGGTGCTTTTTGGGCCCATGTTTGGCCGGCTGCGCTATCAGAGGACGCGCGCGACACGCCCAGGGAATCCTGGGGAATCCCCGGTAATCACGGGGAATTTCCGGAAGAATCCCCAGGAATCCCAGGAAATCCCAGGAAATCCTTGTGAAACCGGTAGCGGGGGCCCTTGAAACCGTTCAAACCGTACATCTCTCAGGGCTGCTTGAGCCTTGGGGCGCTCCACGACGTGCTGCAGGCACGGTGGCGGATCTAGACTCGGAGGACAACAACAAGCCGATCTATCTGTACATCAACAGCATGGGAGGCTCTCAGCCAGGGTCATCGCCGACGATGGCGGCGACGACGGGGCATCCTCCAACCACTCGAGCCGCGTCCAGCCGTGTCGACGAGATATATGCAGGACAAACAAGCAGGAACAGAAAGGAGAGGGAGAGACAGGAAAGCAGTGAGAGGCGCGCGCAGCGACGACGAGCGAACGACGACGACGACGACCGCTCGCCCGCGCCAGGCTCAAACCAGCACCGCCCCCCTCCGCGCCCCCGAGCTTCGGACTTCGATCTTCGGCACCATCTGTCGACGAGCGGCGGCGACGACTCCCCGCGTCAGGCTCCGTCCTCGCTGGGCTGGCCATCTACGACACCATGCAGCACATCAAGTCGCCGGTCGCCGGGCGCCACCCCGTCGGCTCCTCCAGGGGAGGCTCGCTCGGCCTCCCCGAATCGGGGGCGGCGAAGAGGGGGGTGATGACTAGGGGGGGGTGGATCTTATGGCGGGGGCCATGTTGTTTCCTCTGATTTCACGGCGCCCTAAACCTTAAACCCCAAAGCCCGAAACCCCACACCCCAAAACCCTAAGCCCGAAACCCTATACCCTCAATTCTTAATCCTACCACTTCTCAAACCTAAGCCCCTAAACCCTAACCCCCCCCCTTGGGCTGCGCACGTGCCCTCGGCCATGCGTTGCGCCCCCCCCTTCCTGGACGCCCCCCTCTTGGCCGCCCCCGACCAGCGGAGACCACGAGGAGGTGGTCGGGGGCGCCGACCAGGGGGGACGCGGCTCGAGGGGCCGCTTCTCGCCAATGGGGGCCTGGGTGCCCAAAACCTGCCCAGGAGTCTTGCGGTTTCGCCAGCGGGGGCCTATCTTCGCGGGTGGGCAGAACCCCCACCCTGACACGTCGATTAGTGAACTGTCCGTTTTCGGTCCTCGAGAGGGCGCCGGGGCCGTCATTTTCCAGGCTTGCGCCCGCCAGGTTTGGGCCCGAGGTCGTTTCACTAGACTACGTTTTACAAAGGGGGCTTCTGTCCATCGCCGATCTGTTCGATCTGTCGGCGAGCAACGTTTTGGAACGTTTCTGCAAGCGCAGCGTGCGGAAGTCCGGCGAGGGCTTGCAGGAAGACCCGACGCACCGGCGCCCAGGGTAAGGAGGTGGGCGGGAGGAGGCGGAGGACGTGGCCGCGACGAGCGGCCCAGGAACTGGCTGCGCACACTGTGGTCGCTGCTGTGGAAGGGCCGTCCTGAGAGTCAAGCGGGGCTTTCAGTGCACCCGGGCGCTGAAACCTTTTTTTTCTCCGCTGGAACTCTGTGTGCTTCATAGTTCGGTGGGTGCTCGAAGGGGTTCCAGGGGATGTTCCTCAACTTCAGAGCGCCGCTATCCAGGAGGCAGTCGGCCCACAGGGAGGAGATTCTGTGCCCCGCCTGCGGGCTGAAGGGGGGCGGACACCTCCTCCATCTTGTGTGTGGCTGCCCATGTGCGTCCAGGGCCGCCCACCACAGACGGCCAGCACGGCCCACAGACCCGATACAGGCGTCGTCGGGGAGGACCCAGGCCACTCGCTCAGAGTTTTGGACTGGCTGGTCCGGCAGGGTATCATCCGCCATAGGTCGGGGGCGGCAAAGAGGGGGGGGATGGCTAGGGGGGGTGGATATCATGGCGGGGGCCATGACATTTCCCCAGGTTTTATGGCGCCTCTTCTTATTTCATTGCGTCCCTGGCCCCCCCGCTGGGCCGCGAACGTGCCGCCGGTCATGATTTGCACCCCCCCCCTCTTGGACACCCCCCTCTTGGCCGCTCCCGAATAGGTGGGGTGACCCAGAGCAGGCAAAAGGCCGAGGAGGAGGAGGCGGTGGCAGGCGGGACAAGGAGCAGCAGTCAGTCCGCGACAACGCCGCAGGAGGACAGGGGTTCGGCACGAGGCCAAGGAGACGGAGGGGGCGGAGACGGCACGGAGAAGGAGATGCAGTCCGAGGGCAGGGACGAGGCAGGAGGCCAAGGAGGAGGCGCAGGCAGCATGGAGGAGGAGATGAAGTCCGCGACAGCGCCACAGAAGGGCAGGGAGGAGGCAGGAGGCCAAGGAGGAGGCGCAGGCAGCGTGGAGGAGGAGGTGAAGTCCGCGACAGCGCCGCAGAGGGGCAGGGAGGAGGCAGGAGGCCTAGGAGGCGGAGCCGCCTTGGTCATGGTGGCCATGCGGTGTGGCGACGGTCCACCGCGGGGAGCCCCTGAGCCCGCCGCCGCCGGACCAGCCGGATCGTCACGGTGGCAGCGGAAGAGGCAGATAACAAGCAGGTGAATGCTAATCGTAATACTTGGACGAAGAAGATGCTTACGACAAATAAGCATACGAATAATGCTTCTGCAATCATATTGAGCATCAGACTAGTACTAGTAATACGAATGATAGCGATGAGACGATTCAATCCGAACGATTCAGAAGTTTAATAATAATGCCAAAACGCATAATGAGAAACTTAGTATTGATAATACCACTTCGGATCCTAAATCTTATCATGAATCGACTAATGAGAAGAGTAATAACCATAAGACTACTAAGACTAGCGATAATACTACGTGTCTGAATGGTGATACCAATCGTATTCATAATCGTAACAGTGGTGCTAACTAACACTCGTGCTAATAATGCGCATATAAGTATTGACGTACTGAAAGGAATAACTGCCATTTCTAATAGTAGTAAAAAAGATCGATGAAGACGAAGCAGAGAAATACGAACCAGAAGAAGGGTACCCCGATTACGAATGATAAAACCGAGAATAAGTAATACATTAGTTACCATAAGACTACTAGTAATACGAATTACCAATGATAAGAGTTATTACAATACGAAAATACTAATCGGAATTGTACCGCTAGTGTATAGCTACTGTAAAATATCATAAACGTACCACTGATACGTGGTACTCTAATAATAGTAATAAAAAATACGAATGTTTCGAATTGAAAACAACCATACAACTAATGCAAATACGAATCATGGTTGCACCTTCTGATAATGAATCAATTTTTTCAGTTACAAGTGTGATAGTAATATCAATCATGCGAATAATAGAAATAGCAACCTGGCAGTGTTCTGGGCGGGCGACAACGGCAACACGCGGAAACTGGAACTGGCGGAGCCGGGCCGCGGGGGGCGCCTGGAACCGACGGCATCCAGACCGAAGATGGAGGTGGGAGAGGACGAGTGGTTGCCGCTTCTGGCCAGCGGCGACGACGACGAGATGGAGCTGAGTGACAAGGCGCATGGCCTGCGCTTCGGAGAGCCCCTCGAGCTGATGGCGCACGTCCTGGCGGAGGCCCAGGCCAGGCTTCGGAGAAGAAGCCGGCGCGGGAGAGGTTCCCGGCCCTCTCGCAGTGGGCGTTCACCGGCGCAGGGTAGCTCATGGCTTTTGCGCCCGGGTGGGATTATCAGGATGGTGCTGTCCAGCTCTGCGCCCGCATGCTGAGTAATGAGTACCAGGCTGCATATTTGCTGGCCCACGACACGATCGCGAAGAAACCGCTCTTGCACCCAGGAAAGGCAGGAAGAGGCGCGGGTTTCCGCGTCCTCGAGCTGATGGAAGGCGACGCGATGATCTTGTGCATGCTGAATTCACACGTTCATTTTTTCGGTGTCTACATGGGCAGGCGGCCAACAGAACCGTCAGCCAGGATGGGGTCAGCGTGGGCTGGCCGTCTTCTTTATTTGCGCATTCATCGGGGATGTCATCAAGACGGGCATGTCCCTCTACAGAGAGAATATTCAAGAAGAGTGAAACGTAGTCAGGTGACGATTTGTCCGTGCTCTTTTCACCCTGTTTATTCGTTTTGATTTTTCCTTCAAGAATCCGCCTGTAGGAGAACATGCCTGACCCAAGGCTTTCAGTGCATCCAGATGCTGAAACTATTTCTTTTCCGCTTGGGTTTTCGAAATGGCAGCCTGGAGTTCGCGTTGGTTCCAGGGGATGTGCTTCGATTTGTAGTGACGGCGTCACTGGCTCGCTGCGGCCCAGCCTCTAGGGTCGGGCAACGTATGTGCGAGCAGTTCAGTGCTGATGAGCCGTCAGCTAGGTATAGTATAGAGCGGCCGTTTCCCCGCTCACCGCGATCATTTGCCTCGAGCCCGGACGGCCGGACTGCCAGGATGTCTTCCCTGTGCACGGGGGGGGGGGAAGAAGGATGCTTCGACCGCGCCTTCCCGACACCGCTCCCTGGCGCAGAGGCAAACAGGTCGTCCTACACTGCCACTCCCGCGCGCGGGAGGCCCTCGCCGCAGGTGACCTGGGGCCCAGGGCGCCCCCCGAGGCCGCGTTTGGGGTGATCTGGACATGTCGGCGATCGACGTTCGATCCAGACCCATGGGCGCTCGGGGGGGGCAGGGCGTGGATAAAAGCTCGGCTCTAAAGGCTCGACATTTCTCCTGGTGCCAGTGTGGCTCCTGGTCTGCTCCGGGCGTGAGCGGGGGCATGCGTAAAGCGTCGATCGCCTGACACGTCACACATCCCGAGCTGGCGGTTTCGCATCGGAGTTGCTCAAGCAATCGGCCCCCGGACCCCTGGCGCTTCCTAGGCTCGCGCGCAGCTTCCAGCCAGTTCCCAGGCGGCGAGAGGAAAAGCAAAAAGAACAAATGAGGAGCTCCTACTTCTCTTCCAACGAACTGTGGCCGCCCGTTGCCGCCCGTCGTCGCCGTCGTTGGTCGTGCGCCTGAGGGGGGCCTGGTTGTCGGTCCGGCCGGCTTATGGCCACCCGTCGTTGCCCGTCACCGCCGTGCTTGGCTACGATTCTGATTCTGCGGGGCTCGCGCTCTGCTTTGCATTGCCTCGCGTTGTTTTCCACTGCTTTGCATCTCTTCTCATCGCTTTGCACTGCTGTGCGCCGCGCAGATCGTACTCTTTGGATTGCGCCGCGCAGGTTGCACCACATGGCTTGCACCGCGTGGATTGCTCTGTGCAGATTGTAACACATCGCTGTTTGGGGTCCACCATGGCCAACGCCTATTGATGAAGTTTCAGACGCCACATATGGGGCCAGCGATTTTCTTTGTTCTCCATGCTTGAGGCTTGCTTTGGCATTCGGAAGCCTTAAGGCGTGCGAAAGCCCCGAATGCATCCGGAGACCTCCCGCCCACACGGGACCAGAGTGGATGGGATCGCAGGATCGCGCCGCATCGTAAAGGCATCCGCCAAGCGGCGCGATCCGGAGTCCGATCGACCCCACTCCTATCATCGCCGATGCATCGGCGACGCGGTGTACTCTTCCAACCTGCGCCACCCATGTGCTCTGGCCCAATTTGGGCGGCTTCCAGAGCGGGACTGCAACATTTGAGAGTAGACATCATCAATTCCTCAGGCGCACTAAGAGAATCTCTCTTGCGGTACCTTCTCTCCAGCATCTTGCTCGATGGGCGTATCCGATCCCGTCATCGCCGACCCCTCGACGGGATCGCCCCCATCGCTGCTTTGCTCTTCGCGGCGTCGTGTACCACAAACCATCGTCGAGTCTGATTGCTCTGCTGAGGGTGCGAGCTTCTGCGGGGCGTCTGGAGGACTTCGCCGAGGTTTGGCGAGGGAGGGCCCTGTCCTCCTCCGAGGTCGTCACGATCAACGTCGGCATGGCAGCATCCATGGCTTCCTTCCTGCTGGCCTCTGGCGAGAAGGCGGGTGCCCAAGCCCGCCCCGTCTGCTCCCGAGAGGGGAAGAACTCAAGGGCTCCCACGAGGGCGCGAGGTCAGTCGCGCTTCGCGCTTCGCGGGCCTCATTCCTCCTCCCCCTCCTCCTCGTCCTCCTCTTCTCCCCTTTGGGGGCGGCGCGAGAGCGCGAAGTTGTTCGCGCTCTCGCGCTTTGCGCGGCGCGAAGCGCGAAGTTGGGAGCCCTTGGAAATGGCGAGCACCAGCACGGGTGGAGCAGTTGGGCGCCCGGAAGTCACACCGTCGATCGAGCGTCCTCCAGAGGTTCTCGCAGACTGAGCTTCACTGATCTTGTCAGCCTCTGCCCGCTCTGTCTCCTCCCGCTGTTCCTACCGATCCTCCGTTGTCCCCTTCCTGCGAGGCCGTCCTTCTCTTGCTGCCTCGTCCCTGCTCCGCTCTCGTCCCTCCCTTCTTCAAGTCACCGTCGTCTTGCTCCCTCCCGCTGCTGATCTCTCACGAATCTTTGAAGTCATTGGCACTTCACATATTCCCACCACCCGCAGCCCGTCCAGAACCGATCCTTAGGCAATCTGTCTCGAGCAAGTATGCAGAGAAACGTATCGACGCCGAACAGGGCGAAGCTCTGCCGCTCCTGCCATTCGGATGTGCCAGAGTGCCCAAACGTTGGGCCTGATTTTGGCAAAGCTATTGGCCTGCGTGTTCCCTCAGTCGTTCTGGGGGCGGACACTTTGGGGGAGGGAGAAAGAGAGAAAGACATAGTACCGTTATTTGTATACACAAGTATACATCGAGGAATACAGGAACATCGAGACAGAGAGAGGACGAGGGACAGAGAGAGAGAGAGAGAGAGAGCTATATATATAGAGAGAGAGAGAGAGAGAGAGAGAGAGATAGAGAGAGAGAGAGAGAGAAAGAGACAAACACAACGACAACTATTTCAAGAGGCGCCCAAGACGGCCCAAGAGGGCCCCAATTGGGATCCAAGGGGGGAAACCCCGACTGACATTTCGAGCCCTCCGCTCCCAGTTGGCCCCAGGGGGCCGCCAGCAGGCCTCCAAGGAGCCCCCGAGGGCCCCCCAAAAAGCTCCCAAGATGCCCCCAAGCGGCCCCCAAGAGGCCTGAGGAAGCTTCCAAAGTCGCTCCACAAGCCGCCCGAGAAGCATGCCAACATACCCCGAGCTACAGGCACGTATCCAAGAATCCTCTCGTCCCAAACTCAGGCACAGTAGCGGTATGGGCCGAAGGCACTAAATATTAGATTAGCCAAGCAATCGGCTTGGCGACGGGCCCATCCCTAGACAGTCAGGCGTGTAGCGCAGGGCGCGCGTCTCTCTTTACGCACTGCGCGCCGCGTGGCAGTGCGGAAAACGGGCTGCTGCGGAGCACGCGTGCACGGGTGTGCTGAACTCTTTGTTGGGCACGATCCGCGTGAAGGGTGTGCCGATTAACTCGGATGCCCCGCGCGAACATGCCCTCTGAGGCAGCAGGTGGACCTCCTCCAGGCACGACCCGTGCGAGGCTTGTTCCGAAATGGGCGGGGGACGCCATGCGAAGCTGCCCATTGGTGCCACAGGTGGAGCTCCTGCTGGATCATGATTCGCGTGACAAGTGTGCCGACTTGGGCGGGGGTGGCGCTGTAAGAACCCTGTCTCCTCGCCTTTAATTCGTGTTCCTCGTGTGCACGATCCGCGTGATAGGGTGTGCCGCAATGGGTGGGGGGGCACAATGCAAACCCTGCCTCTGGCCATAGGTGGAGATTCCTGTGGGCCACGATCCGTGCGAGAGGTGTGCCGAAGTAGGCATGGGGGGCGGTATGCGAACCTGGCCTTTGGGGCCGTCCGTGGAATTCTCTGCGGGTCACGATCCGTGTGTGAGAGGCGTGCCGAAGTAAACCAGGCGACGCTATGAAGCTTCCCTCTGGTGCCGCAGATGCAGTTACTTGCTGGGCGCGATCCGCGTGAGGGGCGTGCCACTGCGCGAACCTTGTCTCTGGGGACTTCGGTGAAGATCCCTGTGGGGCGCGATCCCTTGGAGGGGAGTGCCGGCATGGGCGGGGGCACGCTGAGCCAAGTGTACATCTGGGGCCGTCGGTGGAGCTCCCTGAGTGGCACGATCCGTGTGACGCCACATGTCCTCCGACGCCGAGCAGTGTAGACTACAGCCAGAACTTGCTAGGGCCCAGGCGCGCGCGAAGCGCGCGTGGTTCCAGTATCCAGCTGCCTGCTGCAAGTCCCGCCACCGTGCCAGCCCAGCATGCTCGGCGGCTCTCCTTCGAGGGGCACCCGAGGAGCGTTGTGGATGTTCGTTGGGATCTCGTGGGCGGCCTCTCGGGGGCCTCCTGGAGGCCGTTTTGAGGCCTCTTGGGGGCCGTTTTGTGGCCTCTTGGGGGCCTGTTGGGACCTCTTGGGGACCTCTTGGGGGCCTCTTGGGGCCTCGTCGTCGTTTGCTGGAAGCGAGGGGGGGTTCAACCCCCCCGACTTTCGGAGGAGGAGGGCTTCTCGCCGGGGAGGGGAGGATTTTCGAGAAAGGGTGGGGAGGGGCTGGTTCCAGATCGGGGGAGGTCGGGACTTTGCACAAGTACGGCGTGCACAGACGACGCTCTCTCAGACAGTGGGGCTCCCACAGCCCTGTCTCCCCATCTCCATCCCGCCCTCTGCATCTCCCCGCCTCTCCCTCGTGCAGCGGGGGGAGGGGACCAGGAGGAGGGGGGGAGAGGAGTATGGAGTGGAGTGTTGTGGAGCGGACAGACTGGAGAGGAGGACGCGAGTGCCGCCGCCACCCAGCTTTTTGTGTCGGACCGTGCCTCCGTGAGGCTGATCTCGGCGCGGAGGTGCAGCATGGCCACGGCGACGCCGCATGTTAGCCTTGGAAAACCCAGGGTTCGCTGGGGACTGGTTTCCCCCCAACACGACGAACGCCCTTCCCACACCCTCCCGAAACCCTCCGAAAGGCCTTCCGGAACCCTTCCTGGAGGGTTTTCGGAGGGTTTCGGGAGGGTTTCGGCGGTTTTGAAAGGAAACCAGTTCCTAGCGAACCCTGGACTTTCTAATGTTAGCCCCTCCCGGGCACCGCGCCGCTCCCCTAGGGTTAGGTCGGGCCTGTCCCCCTACAGGGGGATTTTGGACGACAAAGAACGAATATCCAAAACATGCTCAAAAGACGCCCAAAAATACCCCAAAGATAGCCCCCAGACAATTTTTCGATGTTTTTTTTGAATATTCCCCCTGTAGAGGGACAGGCCCGACCTGACCCTAGGAGCCCTCGACCCGCAGGTCGGCCCGCCTGCCTTGCCTGCCTCGCAGGGCCTCGGCCAGGCTCGGCCGACTCCCCGCGGCGCTTCCGGCACGCAGGCCGGCCCGCCCCGCCTCGGCGGCGGAGGGCGCGACGGCGCCTCGGCCCCGCTGGCCTCCGGCGGCGCGGCCCGGCAGCGCCCTGCAGACTGGCGAGCCTCCCGCCGCACCCGCCGGAGCTGGCTGCGCGTCGGCGGCGCAGAGCCCTGCGCACCGAGACCTCTCAGAGGCGACGATGGGGGCGAATAGCCCAGGGGAGAGCAATACATGTATCCAGGGGCGCCGATGATCTACGTCTTCGACAAGGCTCCCAGGCGGATACGTGTAATGCCCGCTCCTGGGCTATTCGCCCTTATCGTCGCCGCCGA